TCAAGTGGGAAGAGGTTCGGATATCTTTTCTTCATATCATGTTCCCTTTCCCACGTTGCATAAATACCACCATGATTTTGCCAATCCACCTTCACCAATGGAACTTCTTTGTTTCTTAACTTCTTGATCCGATAGTTTAACAACGTAGGCTCAATAACATGGAAAGGATCCCAGAGATAATCCTGCAACATTGAAATATGAAATACATTATGCATATGCTCCATCTCGGGAGGGAGAGCTACCTGGTATGCCACTGAATTAATCTTTTCAATAATCTCATATGGCTCAATGTACCTTAGTGCTAACTTACCCTTAGTTCCAAAGCGAGTCTACTCTTTCATTGGTGTCACCTTAACAAAAACAAGATCACCCACTTCATATTCTCTATCTCTCCTTCGAACATCCACGTAACTTTTCTGTCGGCTTTGTGTCATTTTTAATTGCTACTGAATTAATTTCACTTTTTCTGTTGTTTCTTGCACAATTTCAGGTCCAAGTAAAGGCCTATCTCTAACTTCAGCCCAACAAATCGGTAACCGACACTTTCTGCTATATAACGCCTTGTAAGGTGCCATGCCAATGCTTGAATGAAAACTATTATTGTAAGCAAATTCGGCTAAAGGCAAATGAGTTTCCCAATTTCCTTGAAAGTCTAGCACACACATATGCAACATATCCTTCAAAGTTTGGATTGTTCTTTCTGACTGTCCATCAGGCTGTGGATGATATGCACTGCTCAATCTCAATTCAATCCCTAATGCCTTTTGCAAACTTTGCCAAAATCTTGATGTGAATTTTGAGTCCCTATCAAAAACAATTGGCATAGGCACTCCATGCAATCTCACAATCTCATTAATATAAATAGTAGTCAACTTATCCGCATTATAGAATGTTTTGATAGGTAAGAAATTGGCAGATTTAGTCAAATGGTCAATAATAACCTAAATCGAATCCATACCTCTATTAAAGCGAGGTAGTCCAACAATGAAATCCACAAATGCAGTAGGCGTATTAGTAACTCCAAAAGGCATAACAAAAAATTTATAATGTCTGTACCTTGTTCATAAAGCAATCTTTTCAATATCTTTAGCTTTGACTTTCAATTAGTGGTACCCAGATCTAAGATCAATCTTGGAAAATACTTGGGCACCTTGCAATTGATTAAATAAGTTATCAATGCAAGGCAACGGATACTTGTTCTTTACTGTCACCCTGTTCAATTCACGGTAATCAATACAAAGCCTTAATGAACCATTCTTCTTTTTCACAAATAAGACTGGAGTGCCCCATGATGATGTGCTAGGCCTGATAAACTTCTTGTCTAGTAATTCTTGTAATTGAATTTTCAATTCCTTCAATTCAGTAGGTGACATTCTGTATGGAGTTTTGGAAATCGGCTGTGTACCTAGTAACCTTTCAATTGTGAACTCAATTTCCCTATCAATCAAATCCCCTAGAAAATCATCTGGAAAAACATCTAGGAATTCTCTGACTATAGGAATACTGTCCACATTAGCCTTATCAATAGCAGGCACAGTCAATACACAACACAAATACCCTTTACACCATTTTTTTAATCAATTTGCATGCTTTCATAGATGAAATCGAATATGGGGGAGGTACAACACCAACTCCGTTAAATATGAATTCAGGCAATCCAGGTGGGTGGAAAATAACTTGTTTGGTTACACAATCAATAGTGGCATGATATTTTGTTTATTAATCCATCTCCAAAATTACATCAAAATGATAAAGATTCAGAAGCAACAAATCAATATATAAAATCATATCTCCAACACCAATCTCATATGCAGGATACATATATGTGCAAGTCATAGACCTCCCAGTAGGTAAAGACATAGCTAATAAATAATTCATAAGTTCCAGTGATCTAGATAATTTTCTCGAAAAAGCATGCAAGACAAATGAATGCATAGTCTTCGAATCAATCAAAATATAAGCATTTTGAGCATAAATAGGGAGTATACCTGACACTATTGTCTTAGTATTTTGCAAATCTCCGGGTACAAGTATGAAAGCCTGGCCTTTCTTTAAATTTTCTCTCCCTGTAGCTTTAGAATTTGGTTTTGGTGTAGCAGTTGATGCTGCAGCACTTGCCACAAGTCTATTAATGCCTTAAGGAACGCGGGGACAATCTTTGACTATGTGGCCCACTTTGCCTCACCTATAACATGCCCCGGAAATTTTGTAACAAACCTCTTTTATGTCTTCTACCATATTCTAGACAAGGCTGTATAGAATTGTTCCCTTGACTAGAACTACTGGTTGACCCCGTATTTTGTTTCTTATTCTATGAGTTGTTTCAGCCCTTTTGAAATTAAATCCTTATCTCTTACCTCTCCAATCAGTCACCAGATGTCTTGGCCTGCTTTAGAGCTACAATATTTTCCTCAGACATTATGGCTCTATCAAGAACATCCACATATTTTGTCAATTTTAGAACATTCACCCGATCAAGTACTTCCACATTGAGTCTAACGTCAAATTTTCTAGCCTTCTTACAGTCAGTATCTACCATGTGTGGTGCATATCAGGCAAGCTCTATGAACTTAGCTTCATATTCAGCTATAGTCGTCGTACCCTGCTTCAATTGTTTAAATTCATATACTTTATGGTCACGGGCATACTGAGGGAAATATTTTTCATAAAATGCCTCTTTGAATTGAGCCCAAGTCATAGTACCATTATTATCACGAATAAGCATCCACCATTGCATTGACTCTTCTTGTATAGTGAAGGTAGCCAATAACACCTTTTGTGCCTCAGAACATGGGAATACTTCAAACAATTTTTCAGTTTCTAAGATCCATGCTTCGGCTTTCAATGGCTTAATACCTCCTTGGAACGTTGGTGGCTTCATTTTGTTGAACTTTTTGGTCAAAGCTATAATGTCATTATTACTGATCGATTCAATTTGGATGGGCGGCGGAGGAGGAGGTGGAAGCTGTTGATTTTGTTGTTGTTGTCTCAGTGATTCAGTCAATAGTTCAATCATTCTTTCTAACTGTGCAATTCTTGCATTTGATGATTCGATTTCATCTACATTTCTTGTATTCTCCATTGCACTATATAAACCATGGCAATAATAAACATAGGAAAGACGGTTCTCATATTTTATGTAACACATATACATATAATATGTCCACACACACTCACACATGCTCATACAATGCACTAATTTATTTTCTAGGACATTCTATAGCTCATTTGGACATGTGTGTGTGGTATAACTCGTGCTCTGACACCACTCTATCACGACCCAAACCCACTCATATAGGTTTAGCATCGTAACTGGCTAGTAATCCGTGATTACCAAAGGCCTGCTTAATAATAATAATAGTAATACAATAATAGGGTACGGCAAAAGCCTGTAAATAATAAAATATCACGTCCAATGAGCTGTGAGGACTTAAATGAACAAACAACTTTGACATATACATAAACGATTAAGTCTATAAAACACTTATGTACAAAATGAAAACATAAGTTAGAAAATTAAATCCCATTACCAAAACAGTTACAAGGTCATAAAACATTTATGTCACTTATACACAAGTTTCAAAGGGTGAACTTCTGGACCACCTCAAAAGCCGTAGTACTTGACGATTCAGAATCTCGTGGTGAGGCACAATAGTTAGCTTGACAAAACTGAGTTCGGGTCGACGCCACTAAGTTCGTTCCAGTGCTTGACCACCTACATACATATAATAAACAATGAGCTAGAGCCCAGTGAATAACAAATATGTAAAAGAATTTATGAATGATGTCCTTATCACAATTCAAAACAATTAGTTTCAGTAGTGAATCAGTTCACAAGCAGTCTTTCTTACATTTCAGAGTCATATGAAATTATAACAATCATACGCGGTACATTCAATAGTAGAATAGTACAGTAGGTCTTAAAGACCGAATAGTCATTTGATGGCCATCAATATAGTAAGCAGTAGTTCCAAAAGTTGGAATTAACAGAGATCTCTGTAACAGTAGCAGTACCAGTAGTAGTAAACAGTAGCAATAAACAGTTGCTATGGATGCCATGAGTACAATTTACAAAATAAGACAATCATTCATTCAGTAAACATATTTCAGAATATAGTACATTTCATTGATCAGAAAATAATTTTAATTGAACATAGCTTTACAACATTGTTACTCACAGTGGGCTCCTTGAAACACGTGCTTAAGATATAGCGTCTGACCTAAACAAACAAATTCAAGCACAACAATTCAATCACATTTAGTTCATTCAATTGCTTCTATTCAGTTCATTTGTTTTTTATTCAGTTTCTATCCGTTGCTTATCTGTTCGGTTATAACTTTTTGTTCTTTATTTCATTCGTGTTCATGAGATACGAATGTACATAAAAAAACACTTAAAAACCATGCAAACGGAGGCCCAGAAGGTAGAAAAATGAAGAGAAAACGAAATTGGGACCGTCTTGAAAACTGCACATGCAGAACAACCACCGCACGTGCGCCCCGCACGTGCAATTATGACAGTAGCTGAGTTGAAATAGGGAAAGCTCTTCCGCACGTGCGGGGGCTCAGGCCACACGTGCGATTTGGGTTCAAATTCATACCGAAAAGGGCCCTCAATCACCGCCCTTTATTAAATTTCAAAAATGATTCGTAGCTCGAGAAACTGTTGGCTCGAATGGCCCGATTGCCCAAAACGACGTCGTTTTGGGCAATCGGGAGAAAACTTTCGAGCTACAAAACATTTTCCTTTATCTATACTACTTTTGACTCACAAACAAAAGCAACACCACACACTCAACACAAATTCTCAACAAAAAAAACAAACAAACAAACAAAAAAAACAGATATGCAACTCAATCAGATATACCAAACAAAAACCAAAAACAAATTATGACCCAACTAAACCTCCACTTATGTATCCAAATAGGGGGGCCAAGACCAAAAAACCAAAAAACAAAAAAAAACAATAGGGTCCACTTTGCAACAATTACAGCCACACGTCATCAATCATTCCAGATCATCACTTAGGAACAAACTCAAACATGAGATTTATCTGTCTCTTACTATCTTGAAGTTCGAAACTCATTGATTTACACACAAATATACAGTAAAAAAACCAAAGTCAAACAACAACAACAACAACAACAAAATGTAAGGATGATCTATAGAAGAAAAAAGCTATCTTTTCCAAGGATAATAAGCTTCATTGGTGTCGCAATTAATTTAGCTGCCTTATGTTTCTACCTTCGTTTATGCTCAAAAAAGTCAGTTCAATTTCATGAATATCTGAACATTTGACCAAGAAAACCCAATGATCAATAAGGATATCTTCATTTCAGCATTCCATTTCTATATCAATTATCAACTAGAGCTCGGCCACAAGGAGCTGAGTCTGGAGGCCAGTTTCGCACTCTTGTAGTCCTCTCTGAGCTGAATAAACCTGAAGTTGCATCCATTTTGAAAATTTATCGTCTCATATAAGTAGAGAGGAAAATATGCCAAAAGAAGATGCACGGAGGGGGAGAGAGAGAGAGGTATGACTGTATTTTCTAAATCGCAAAGGCATAATGTGCTCCATCCGTTAGTCTTATAGCTAAAAACAAGTGAATTCAACTGCGAAGTTTATAAATCACCCTTGGGCTGTGTTTTGATTTCGGATTTGAGAAAGGATAGGAAGGAAAGGGAGAAGTGGATGAATTAGAAGATAAAATTTCCCCCTTTTTCCTACCCTTTTGTTTTCTCTCCACAAATCCAAGATTCAAACACAGCCTTCATGTCTTTTGGGAAAGAAACTTATGCTGTTCACACAGCTTTAACATTAACCAGAAATAATCTTTCACATGGTTTTCCAAAATGCAATTTAATACTTCTTTAAGTAAATACATAACTCATAATTAATATCACAATTACCTTTGTGCGTCTTTCCGAATACTTGGGGTACCCTCAAACAGAGAGGAGAGGCTTTCAGGAGCAACAATAAAGACATTGGCCAAGCTGGAAACGAAATTTGCAACAGTAAATCAAGATAGAATATGCTACATAAAATGCCTGAGAACAAACCAACCCATGCAACTTACATGCCCAACAATTCAAATTTCTCATCAACACTAGGAGCATTGAAACTGCGCACAAACTCCCCATACTCAGTTATGTCACGCTTCAGACGCAGTCCTCCACTAGAAAAGAGATAAACACAGATAAGAGAAGCAGTACAACAAGTCTAAGGAATTGGCTATTTTAGTTGGCTTTTTGGCTTTTACGAAAAGATGTGCAAAAAAGTAGAAAGAGTGACGTGACAACTTATATCGACTTTTTGACTATATTAGCAACTTCCCAAACAAGGGCCAAGTCTGTCCTCTTTATGTTCTTCTTGTTCTTATGGCTGGTGGTTATGTTTTTTCTATTTGCTCATGTGCATGTTTGGCATGTGCTCATGGAAGAAGAAGACCAAGGGACTATTGATAAAGGCACAGTTCTAGGGTTTATAAGAGCAAATACATTTTTTTACCAGTCTCTAATCAACAAGCATAGAATTGGAATTGAAAGGTGTAAAGCAACTTTCGTTCATATTTATTACAATTTCAACTAGTACAGAAAGATGCAAGTCACTTTTGATGCCAAATGTCATCATTTGCCACATACAATTTTGTCTTTTTCTTTCATCTCATTTTCTTTTTCCTCTTTGATGAATAAGTACTCCAAATTTAGCACAAACACACTATCAATGAATATAATTCACAATCTTTGTCACACGAATATGGATGTAGCCATAATCATTAGCAAACATAGTTTTACCATGCCAATGTTCATGTAACTAATAAACATAATAAAGAGGCAAAGAAAAATAAGGGCAAGGGTGCTACCTGGGATTAAATGTAAACTTCTGCCAATGAAAAAGCAGCCCTTTGTGCAAGCGGTTCCCCTAAATCAATAAATGCACCGCATTGTTACTTGAATATGCCAATGAAATACTGTACAAATGGATTGCTCCATGAAATCACAAAGATTGAAATGAAGGCCCCAACAAATATAAGAAAAGATAGATGTCAATTGTCAGAGAAATTCTAGCTGTGATTAAACCTTAAAAGGAATATAAACACTTAATCAATATTTTAGCTGTTTTATGTAGTCATGAAATGGAACGTATCATAAAAGATAGCAGAAAAGAAAGAAGAAAACACCATACCAATTCAGTCAAGAAAGCTTGTTTGTTAAGACCTTCCAGTGCAGTGAATGCAGCCTCAAGCACACGGGAAAGATATGCAACAACTCTGGTCAATAGGAGATATATTAATAGGCAATGTTGAATTCAATAATAACCAAACAAAAGACAAGCAGACAAAAGCTAAGAAAAACAAGGTCATTCAAAAGAATTGATATCACTGCATTTCGAAAATGTTCTCAAACACATAATTTCATTTTAATTGCAAAGAAACAATGATTTCTTCAAATCCAAATACAAATTCCAATTCTGTCAATTTGGATGGACCTTGTGCAAGCATTTGTTGGCCGATGATCAGGAGCAATGCCATCATCAGGTGACTTATAATCTGTAGCTTTTTGTTCAGCAGAGAGCAACCGCTCAACCTGTGCAAGAGATTTAGAAGGAATTATATTTGAAAGCCAGAAGCAGATCCAATCATCACAACACAATATAAACCTAAAATATCAGCAAAACACTAAAAAGAGTATAACCACTGATACCAACTTGACACTCGGATGAAACTGACAGGTAGAGCATAAACTGCCACATAGTGGAAGTGACCACCGATACCAACTTGACACTCGGACGAAACTGATAGCTATTTATAAAAGGATATGTGGCTTTAGTGCACATGGATCTAAAATTAGGTGTTAGTTTGCCAATTACAGACCTCAGCCATAACAGTTTCAATACATTGTTGAAGCCCTTTATATGCAGCACCCTCTGCGCTGGACATAGCTGTAGCCATCTCTTCACAGGAAGCAGCGTGTGCACCATCTACAGGTAGTAAAAGCCGAGATATAGAGTTCGCAAAGTACTGCAGGAAAAAATCAAATCAATTTTAATTACAAAGAACTATCAGGCTATCCTCTCACAAGCTTTAAGAAGAAATTAAATGACAAAAGTAATTGCAGTTTAACATACTTGCTGAACAATAGCCACACTGCTTGCACAACGTTGGACTGCCACCATGAAAGATCTGAAACTGCTTTCACCAGCAGCAGCAGCAGCTTCAGCCTACACATCACCGATTCAACATTCATTAACTAAAAAGTCAACTTCTGCATGGACTATTCTCTATTTGAAGCTTATATTGAGTAAATCTTTATGTTACATACTGATATTACAGACTACACTAAAAAGGGATATGGTGAGGACTTACAGCAGAAGCAGCTGCAGCAGCCACTCTTCTACTAACACTTGTTCCGAGCACAAACCTCTCCCTCAAAGCAGCAGCTTCAGTCAGGCTGTCTCTGGCTCGTTCAAGCCCATCTGTAGTATATTGACTTACCTGCAGGAAGAGGGGAAGTCAAAGGTAACTACCCACAACATAGATGCACAATACTCAATGTCAGAAAATGGATTAGCTTGCTTACTTGGTCTAAGAGGCAGGTAAATACAGCTTTTACATTGGCTGCAAGGGTAGCAGGCTGTACACAAGAAGTTAAGAATAGCTGAGTGAAAACCTTATAAAATATCTAAAATTTAAATTGCCTATTTAAATCATAAATAAGTCCACAAGAACAAAAAAATTCATGCAGTGATAATATAAGTTTTATGTATCAATATAAATCAAAAACAAAAGGGGATATCAGAAGTTCAATGCCAAGAAGCTGGTTATAATTATTGTTTCCTTAAGACGATGTCTGGATGGCAGGAATAAAGAGAAAGGAAACTTATTCACATCTCATTCATTCTGTTGTTTGGGTGTGTCAAGACATGGAAAGTTATTCCACGTTATCCATTCCAGGAAAATTGTGTTTAGTGTTTACCAATGTAAAGGGAATCCCACATTTCTGGACAACTTATGAACAACAAAAGCCTTGGTGGATCTCAACTTGCATTTTCTTAATTCTTTTCAATGGTCTATTAAGAGGCTTCTGCGTGTAGCATTTTCAATTTGCTAAATCATCCCACCACTTCATAGTGTTCTAATCACCAGTAGAGCACTCTTCAGTTCAGATTTAAGTGTCTTAAAAGGGATCTCACATTTAAAATTCCTTTAGCCACGCCTAAGTTTATAAGGATCAGAATGATCTCATGGGTACAAATAACTATTTCTTTGAAATTTCCAGTAGGTTGAAAGATGCAAGCAGAAGCTGGTAGCGCGGAAACTATGTTATTCATCCAAGAAAGAATGGAAAAACATTATTAGGTTTTAAAAATAAGCCTCCCAACTTTGCTCCCATCATTACTTAGTTGTATTGAAAATGACTTCTCATAGGCAAGAAAAAGCAACAGATTAAAGTAACCACTGGGTAAACTGGGATAACCTGTGGATTTTTTTTTTTTTAATATTTATTTCAAATAAATTAAATTAAAAGGACTTCTTGGGGGCATGAAAGAATAACAGGTTAAAATACCACTCAGTAAGTGGGGATAAACCTACATTACACGGGCTCGTCACTTTTGGTGAAGTACCTGTGTCAACACGACACGACACGACACGGGTATGGAATCCGGCCGGGATATGGCAGTAAGTCATATTTGTAAAGTGCACAACTTAAATGCACAACTTCATATTTCTACAGTGCATGACTCAAATCAACTTCATATCCTTATATCATATTTCTAAATACACAACTTCGTATTTACTTTCTAGATACATGAAACTTAAATCCATTCTGGACATTCTAATGCACAATGGATACATGTGTGAGATATTATGTCACGCCCCACTTTTTATTACTCCAAGTCATTACCAAGTTCATTAACTTAATTCAATTTCAGAGATAACATGCGGAGATAAACTCAAATGTTCAACTAAAAGGAGTGAACAACAACTCTCTCTTTCGAATGCTAATTAAATACAACATGAGTATTCTGAATAAGTTGCCCTCAGGCTTACAACATTAAATAATCAAATGAAGGGTACAACCCTTTTTCATATATGGCATTTCGCCTACAACAAAGAGGCCCCGTGGCCAACAAATAAGGAGATCCAAATCTTGTAGCACATCCTGCTAAGCACCTGAAAAAGATTCAACAACGTGGGATGAACATATAGTCCAGTAGGGATCTCAACATGGCCCTCAACAATAACAACATACAGATAACTATGATCATGAATGCTCAATCTCATACTAGAATAGTAATGTGACAGTTTACACAAAATATACATAATTTTGCACTTGTCTCGAAAACAACCATTTCAATCAACGCCATAGGCGATTCATCTTCCCTTTTTCCTTTCATTAATCCCCGCTCCCAATCTTTCATAGCATTAACAATTACTTAGGAAATAAATTCACTAAGACCACTACTCTCTCCCATTTCCCAAATATACAACATGTGTACCTTTTTCAAAACATAATTTCAAATATTCGATTCCCTTCAATTCCCAAAGACAAAAAGACGTTTTGGTTTCTTTAAAACACAATCATATCTATACATGCAAACCCTGAATAAAAAAGGAGATAACAAATCATCGACATGTATAAAATCAACAGATGAGGCAACCCGGCCTTCCAAAATTTATAATGAACACAATCCAAGATGTTCTAGATATGCAGAAACAACAACCACAAAACTTCGCTCTACTAGCTATGTGCGTAGTAAGCCAAAGATACACCTTTCACAACAACAAGCCAATTTACCAGGCGCTAGCTGGAAGGGTATGGTGCCTCCGATTTTTAGCGCAGTCAGTTCTCCAGGCGCTAGCTGGAAGGTAACGGTACCTTTGATTTTAAGCGCGGGGTATAACATCAACAATCACAGCACAACGGGGCATAACCAACATGTATATTGCATACACATAAACTATCAAGATACCAGCAATGTGTTAAAGTAGATGAACACACAGGTGTAATGCACACACGACAATTCAACACAACCATGTCATCCTCCACCGATGACCAAGGACAAAACCTCTAGATGCATGTAAATTGTACATCTATTAACAGACTCAATTATCATGAGATCCCAAACCCATCAACAACCCAAGCATGGTAGCTACAAATTAATTCCCCCAAATATGTGCACTCGACATGCATGATACAACAATCCAGTTCCCATATTTATTTTCTATGACTCACATAGAGTTAAAGTTTCATTCTTCACTTTCAAAATCAACTTTCATAATTTTCCAAATCAACATGTTCCACCACTTATTCCAAAAACACATTTCTCATTTCCCCAAAATCAATTCCATTCCTTTCATAACCTTCCAAATTAATTATGCAAATTAAGTCATAATTATTAAGTTAGGGTTTTTCTCCCTCTTTCTCAACATTGACCAAGAAGGTTCAATCATCAACAATAAACAACAAAGACCTCATTTGAGACCCAAAATACACAAGTATTTGCCCAAAGAACAAAACCCCTCTTTTAATTTATCATGACACATATAAATTTGGGCTTTTCTATATTTCAACAACAACATGCTATTTTATGCCACAAATAGTCCAATGAACAACCAAAGACAATAAATCCATTTTTAATCAACCAACTCTAGGTTCCCTCATGATTTTCAAACAAACCCAACATAGGTATGGTTTTCATGCAATACAAAACTACCACATGTCTATCTATAGACGAAGTATTGAAAAAGAACAAGGAAATCCCTACCTCAAATGTAGAACTCAAGGAGAAGAAGAGCAAAACTCGGAAGTGCTCCAAATCCCAAATTTCTCGAATTAAAACGAAGCCCTCGACGATCAACACAACTTTTACAAAGGCCAAAGGGTAGGAAAACACTCTAACTAGATCAATCCTAAGAGAGAAGTTAGATTTTAGAGTGAGGTGCTCTCCAATGGAGGTTTTGAAAAAGTAAGAAAGAGAAAGGAAATCAAAAAGTGATCAAAAAAGTGATTTCACGGACTGATATAAAAATAGGTCCGCTCGAGCGTACAACACCCCGCTCGAGCGTCAGACACAGGTTCACGCTCGAGCGTCCAAAGATCCGCTCGAGCGCCGGATGCACTCTCCCAGAATTTTCTGCAGACGTCCAAAATGCTGAGAGAAGGAAATTCACGCTCGAGCGTCCAAACTGCCGCTCGAGCGGAGAGGCAACAACAAAAGCCCGCTCGAGCGTCAAATCGCCGCTCGAGCGGAGAGACCAAAACCTAGGCAAAAATTCTAAGTTTTAAAACACGACCAACTTATTCCCAACTTGTCCAACACAACCCAAAACTCTAACACAAAGAGTAAGGGATAGAAATGAAGATAAGACAACAACGAATCTACGGAACCGAGTCCGGATTACAGTTAAACAACAACAGGGAATACCGGGATCACTATATATTAACTCTTGCTCTGATACCACTCTGTTTATAGGTTTAGCATCGTAACCGACCAGTAATCCATAGATTACCGAAGGCCACTTAAACAAAAATCAAATTATTAGGGGCTAGCGGAAGAAAAATACAAACATACATTGTTCATTCAGCTGTGCAGACTTATACGAGACAAAAAATATTTAAAATTTTTATATACATATATTATCACATCATTCCTAAGTCATCATATATACAGATGAGATAGAAGGGACTTAGCCCTATATACAGAATAAACAAAAACTTGTTTAACAAACTAAGAAAAATAAAAACTTTAACTTTAATCACATAATCTAGATCACTTGACATATCCAAAACCTCCACGGGAGACACATAGGTTGGCTAACAAAAATATATTCCAGGCAAACGTCTCTAAGCCTGGTCACACACTTGATCACCTACATACATGTCCATAAACAGTGAGCTAGAACCCAGTTAATAACAACAAAGTAAAGATTTTAATGAATGATATCCATAAGAGTTCAGAAATCAGAATTTAGATCAGAAACAAATTCTTATACATATTTAGATTTGTAAACAGTCAAACGTGGTACATCCATTAGCACTAACAGATCAAATTGGTCATAAAGACCCATATGCAAAGTAGATGGTCATAAAGACCCATATATAGAGCAAATAAGTGGTTATGCATAACCAGTTCCATAAATGGAACCCACGTGAAACCCTGATACTAGGTAACAGATAGCAGACACATATGATGCTAAGAATGCCACAATACAATTTAGAAATAAGACAATCATTCATCTATATAGAAAATGTCATTTCAAAAAACAGAGCTTATCATATCATTGCATTCAAAAAATACTTATAGTCAAACATAGCTTTACAGAGTTGTTATTCACAGATAACTCCAGAAGCAGATCTGATAGATTAGACAGATGATAGCGTGTGACCTATAGAAAAACATAACATATACACATTGAAATACAATATCACTTCCTTGATCAAACTTAGTTTCTCTTTTCTTTTCTTTTTTTCTGTCTAAGTAATTTGAAGTTTTACTATACTTAATCTTTCTTTATTCAAATGAATCGGGTTCTTATTTCACATATTCTTTCAATTGCTTTTCTTTTTTCCAATCTTTCACACAAATATGGGTTTCTCTCTCTCCACTCTTTGAGCTCTCTCTCTCTCTCTCTCTCTCTCTCTGTCTTTCTAAGCTCTCCAGCACACTCAACAAGCCAAACCATCCCTTCCCTTAACAAAAATTCAGCACAAGACACATATACACACACCTTCACTTCTTGTAACACGTGCACATACTTGCACATTTCTTTAAGCTCCAACACAACACTTGCATGCACACACACAGAGATTTCTCTGCACACACACACATTTCTCAGCACACCCTCACCCACATACACTCTCAATTTCTAGGCCATTCTACAATTCAATTTATGATTAAGATTAATTTAATTAACACTTAGCCTTAACAAATCTTGATTAGTACATAATTAAATTAATCATACTAATCACAAATCTCATATAATTTAATTAGTCTAATCTGACTTCCATTAGAACCCAATTAATTATATTTAAATTTATTAATCTGAGTCAGATTGTTAATTAAACTCCCAAAAGGTTCCAAATACCAAATTAAACTTATTTCCATCCTTAATTTTGGTTTCTTAAATCATTAAGGCCTTCAATTTTAGATAAAACTCAAAATCTCTGCCAATAAATTATATACTCAAATTGAACACCTCATAAGTAAATTTAATTCATAATAATCTTAATTCTCAATCTTCAAAATTTAATTAACTCAAATTCGAACCCACTTAATAAAATCTCAAATTTACTAAACTGTGTCAAATATTTAATTAAACTCACATATGATCCGATACTCAAAATTAAAATAATTCAATTCACTAATTATACTTTTTTGAGCCATTTAGGCGTTCAATTTTTAATTCCAAAATAAATCCTCAATAGAATCATATACGGTCAGTCTCCACAATTTTCATAAATTCCAAATTGAATCAGAATAATGGGCAATTAAAACCCAAATCTTCGTAATTAATTGAATGCCAAGTATTATACATGGTGGGGTCATCACAATAACCGACATCCATTCCAATTCCGCCACTGATTTCTAGTTTAGGATTTATGATTGTGATGAAGAGAAATACGTTTAGGGTTTAGGATGGTGATGAAGAACGTTGATGAAGAGGAATACGTGGGTGCGAAATACGTTTAGGTGGGAGAGGTGAGTGTACAATATTATAGAGTTGTCTTTATTTGGTGAGAGGGTGTTCAATTAAAGATTATCTTTTAATGTAATTTTAATCATGGTATAATTGTAATATAAAAAAAATTGAGAATCGGGGATCCAAATAAATTAAGTAAATACTAATAACAGTCCTTTTTAATTAATTTTTTTGTTCCCAACTTTCATAAAATCCGCGTGTTCTATAATGTTTGTTCATTTTGACAAAAAATTGTAATAAGAGCAATTTAGTCCAAAACCATATGAGAGTAAGGCCCCGTTTGGGGACTTACCTTTTTAGCCAATTAGTTAAAAAGTTACTCAATTAGTCAAAAAGCCAACAACCCATACCAAAAAGTTAAAAATTCTCTTTTCTCTCTACTTTTTGCACATCTTTTCATAATTAGCCAAAAAGTTATTCCAAACATACAAGTTTTTTTTATCTACCTTTTTAACCAAATAGTCAAAAAGTTACTAAATTAGCCTGTTTCCAAACGAGGCCTAAGTAATTACTTTTAAAAGACAGAAAGGATAAATGCTATAACGCCATGCCACAATGAGGTAAAATAAATTTTGCCAGAATAATTAATGGCAATGATTAACCAACTGCTTCAAAAAAAAGTGTATAAGAATGGTAAATTGAGTTAGTCCTATTATTTTATATCTACTTATATCTATCTATTTTTGTGGGTAATCAAAATAATACGATTATAAGAAATATTTGTTCATTTTATTTTAGATTAATTGCACCAAGGCCTTTTAAATTATTTGTGAATATCAATTTATATCCTTATAAATGAATTTGTACATTTTGATTATTTTAATTATTAAAATGTAACACTTTTACTTTATCTAAACCATCTTAAAAATGATATATTTATAATTAGAATAATTAATATAAACAAGTTCATAAATAAAGAGATAAAATAATATTTACTAATAATTGTAAATAGCCATTTTATTCTTATTTCTAAGTAATGAATTTAAAATTGTAGTGGTAATAATAGTGGGACAAGGGACAAGATTACTCGAAGCAAATGAATTTTGTGAAAGGATAATGAGGCTCTCATAGTTTACCTTTTTATTTATATTACATTAATATATATTAATAATAATAATAATAAGATTGAGAACTTTTTTTTTTTAGACCCCCATAACTCCTTTGAATCTCAATCATGATAGTGTTGAGTCCCACACATAGTATGTAGTGAGTCTCACATATGCATTAATATGGAGATCCAAAGAGAATTATGGAGGTCTGAAAAAAAAAAAAAAAAAAAAAAAATCCAAACATTATTTTATATATATATATATATATTATATAGGTGTGTTCTGAAATTTTATGAATATAATGATTTCACATTTAAAAAGACTTCCACCTTACATTTTTTCTGATTAAGACCCTATCTCAAATTTTGAAAAAGACCCCTATGTCAAATTTTGAAAAGGACTTCCACCTTACATTTTTCCCAAACTTTTTTAAGTGGTCTAATTTTGTTCTCTTATTACATATAAGATGAAATATGAATAAATACATTGAAAAAATTAACTTTAAAATATTATTTATAAATATATATAGCCAATATGAGAAATTTACACTGAAAATGGACTGAGTATTGTTCTATGATTTTTATTTGATATTATATAAATAAATTATGATTAATTTTTCCAAAAATTCTTTTTAGTCAAATCTATATAATCTATTTAATGGAAAAAAGTTAACGAAATATATTACATAATTACATTTACATTCAACCAATTTGGAAAGTTAAAAAATTAATTTAAAGAACTTAATAAAAAAAAGTTGTAATATTTTTGCTTTTGTCAAATTTCTCATTGAAAAATGGATTTGATAGGTTTATAATGCATAAAATTTAAAATGGATTTTTAATTGGTGGGAGACACTACAAAAAAATTAACTTTTGCGACGGTAAAATACCGTCGCTAATACTCCTAATGCTGTCGCTAATACTTTTTTTGCGACGCAAAATGACTTTTTGCGACGGCAAGAGGGGGGTCGCAACTGCAGGGTGCAAAAGAGTTTTTGCGACGTAAGTGCCGTCGCAATGTTTTGCGACGGCATTTTTTACCTTTTTGCGACGCACGTGCAGTCGCTAATAACGTTTGAAATTTCTTGACTTTTTGCCGGCCCTATTTCCGTCGCTAAAAATGTTATTTGAGACGGCAAAAAATACCGTCGCCAATAGTTCTCTTTTTTTAAAAAAAATACTACTTTTGCGACGGTTTGTGCCGTCGCAAAAAATATAAAAAATATTAAAAAATAATAAAATTTCTATTTTAAATAATAAAATTTTTTATTTTTTGCGACAGTATAATATCGTCGCAAAAAAGTATAAACATGTAACAAAATTAATAAAAATATTAAAATTTTCTATTTTTCTGACGGTGGTGCCGTCTCTCTCTCTAAGAGTTGATTATTTACATTCTATTCACAAAAACATCATAACAAAAAATAAAAATAAAAATTTAAATTGATCAGACCATCAATTCAATATTTTACAAAGAAAACAATTAAACTGTACATGTCATAAAAGCATATTTAAATTATAAAATTCCCCAAATCCTAAAAAAAAATAATAATAAATAAAATCTAAAATTCACCAATCAGCACATTGGATATTTAAATGCTATTACAAAAATAAAAAATTTCCAACAAGATCTCAATTTCCAACAAAATTTCCAGCAAAAATTTCCAAACAAAATTTCCAACAAAATTTCCAGCAAAAATCAAGCTCCCAAATTCCTTACTTCTAGAATCAGAATCTTCCCCTCAGCAAAATTTATCCTTTTGACCTACAAATAAAGTAATAACAGTTGCAAATTATAACCTTTTGGAGAAACCAACTATTTAAACACCAGTAATGAAGACAATGGAAGACTGTGGAAAGAACACTTACGTTGTCATCAGGAACAACTGCATATCTCTCAATTGGAGAAAACCAAACTTCCCTGCTCACAAAAAATAATAATAATAATAATAATGAATTCAATGTAGTCCAAAATAGTGTAATTTAAACTCTTATTGTAATATACCTGGGAATTTTTTCATGTCTATGGGAGTGGGAAGGGTTGGACTTAAAGGGTTCCTACCTGTCTTGGATTGTAGATACACAAATTTATTTTGTAGGAACTCACATGTAGAGGGTCCATCATAAAAATGTGAGAAGAATACTAATATGTGGATTAACAATTAACTCTATATATGGTAGTTAATCAGTTTGTAACGAAAAAAATTTACGAAAAAATAAAAAAAGCAGGTGTCCACTAAAAATTTTTTTTTTTTTTTTTTTTTTGTGCAATAATTTATGATTCTATGGTTGTTAGGAAAAGATGAGAGGGAGACGATATAAATGCTTTAGAGCTCTAATTATTTGGAGTTCTAATAGCTCTAAGGAAAGAAATGCCTATGAATACAGAAATCATGACCAACAACTATATCCATACCCACAACTATACCTTTTGCCTCGTCTGGTGCCAGCAAAGAAATGCCTATGAATACAGAAATCATTCCTAATATGAACATTGTTGTCCTTAGAGCACCAAATACCTGCTTAAGCAACAGTCAATAGTCTTGCCAATGTGTGTGAATTCAAGAGAAGCAAGACTGACATATGCCAACAGACTATGCCAACAGACTAAATAGACTATGCCAAGAGAAGCAATCATTCATAAATGTTGATGTATTGGTTTCATCGCACAACTTGGAATTTGAACTTCCAGGGTACTAAAAAACTACTTGTTCCATTGTCATTCTGCATTCTCAATAATGAACTGCAAGCATTACCATCAACTGCTACCTTACTTCCTAGTTTTTGATATGAATAAAAAAACATTTGAATAAACAGTAAGATGTGAAGAGAACACAGGTAGAAAAGAAGAAAAAGTAATGGCCCGTCCGACAACAGTATCAATTCTCAGTGCACCTAGTGCCATTGATTCTCTCCCAAGAATTCACTTAAAACGATCACATGTATATTGACTAAATCAATGCTGCCATATAATTGAAAATCTTGTTGAAACCACAGCTTGCAGAAAAAAAAAAATATAATAATAATATATCAACAAAATTCAATTCCAATTAATCAAATATCATGAAACTGAAAAATCTGTTATATCCTACTCACTCAGTTGCATCTCTCCAACAGGCAAAGAAAAAATACAAAGAGCTTAAAAACAAAACTTTGCTTTCAAAAAATAATCACTTTTGATAAGCTAGACAGGACAAAATTTCTCAAATGCTAGTTTTAAACATTCACAATATGATGAAAGCGAGAAGGAATAAAAGACAAGAAGTCACAAATGCATACCAGGCACCGCTTTATCAATGCCCCTAAAATGCCCCAAAATGGATTGAAGAACTGCGATCCAATCTTAACCCTTCAGCATCTCCATTGCTTGTCCACTAGAAAGTTAACAAATTAAAGGCCAAGAAGAATTCTAATGTAGCACAGTGGACTCTTCCAATCTTTCTCATCATGTACACTGGTGACTGCTTTCACATTTAAAAACAAGAAATTTTTTTTATACAAACAAGACATTAACATAGCTGCATAATATATAGTTTGTACAGCTAGTCAACCTTGACAACATTTTTAACTTACAAATGACATGATTACAACACTATTCTCCATAACATAAAAACTACGCCTTCTTTTTCTTTTCTTTTTTTCTTTTTGTTTGCAGAAATGCATGAAAAAGGTTTCAAGAAAAAATATCTTCTAACGAGGAGAATATCAAATCATTTGACTTAATCTAATCTGCAATGACAGTAATTCTTAAAATCGTATCATTAAACGACTAAAATTCCATTAATTAATAAAGGCAAATGCTAAAACAAGGGCCAATGTGATGAAAATGTGTTTGAAATCAATAAAAAGTGCTTGAATCTTGTGACGAGCCGTCTGGCCAGGATCAACCCACTTGTGTCTTTTTCTGTGCCTAGGGCCACTTGGTTAGCAAGACCCATTGAAAAAAAAAAAGGAACGGGTACTAACTATAAACTTTATTCATACAGAGAGGGTGCTAAGAGAATCTATGAACAATACCTGAAGATAGAGAAATTCCCAATAAGCCTCTGCTAGCTTTAATTGAACATTCAAGCTCCACAAATTTCAGCACACAGAAAGTCCCTGTCCATTCCTCATGTAAATTCGTTGTGTTATGAGAAATGGACACTAATGCAGCTCCCACAGACAGGCCTACCCTCATGCTCTTTGCCTGTCCCAATAAAATACTTCTTGTGTATCAATTTCTACACCATTAGATGAATGTATAAAAGTTCAGAGCATCTGTCAGTGTGTCACACACTTCAGCCAAGGAATGCTGGGTGCTAAAATACAGTGAGAATCAGAAGTGATGTTCACAAGTCTCCAGGTAAGGAAATATCCCTCCAGGAAATAGTCTTAAGAGTACAGCCCAGCTCAAAGATCATTCGCAGATCTGTATGGGCAAAATATCCCTCCAGAAAATAGTCTTAGTGGTTACTGTTGATCTTGTATTGTATTGTGTGTTTACCTGTTTCAGAAGTGCAAGTGCAAAATTTGATTTGTGTGATATTCAATTTGTTTCATTGAAATATCTTAATCTGGAACTTATAATTAAACAATGAACTACCATTTTTTTTTTGAACCTTTTAACTATATTCTGTACATTATTACTAATGAATAAAATTAAAAATATAGGAGATAGTGAGAAAATGATAAACTCTATCAAACAATTTCAGAACTTGCCTTGGCAGTGTTGAAGGCTACGGATTATAATCTGAGGCTGTTCATCCAAAATTTGTTCCTCCATGATACTAGGGGAAAAAATAAAAAAATGATTCCATTAAATGAAGTAAAATTTAGAAGTGAACATTTAGAAGTTTTAGTAGAGCACATACGAGTTGTCCAATTCTCAGTCCAGATTGATGGCTTGTTTGGTGTGAGTTTGGTCTCCACAAATGTTTCTCACATCTCATCCCATTGCATGTATTGATCTGAAAATTGAAAAAAAAAAAAATCCATTAATCCGATCTGAAAAACATTTTATGATCTTACCACATCTTGATCTATATCAATAATATATGTTCCAGGTAAAGAGAACTAACCACAGGATCAGGAGCATCAATTTGGCTTGCACATAGGTCCATGGCACTCCAGTTTGAAGTCCCACAGCCATTTGTGCTGCCCAACGAACGTAAGCCGGCCCTTTCTCATGAAAGGCCCCTTCTATAGTTTGGTACTCGTTCTCGATTCCTTTAGCCACGAAGCTGTAGATCAAAGACTGTTGCCCCATCTCTCTCACACTCAAAACCCTAAAACCTAGAGAGACAAATGGGTAGAGAGATAAACGGAAGGAGAGATTGGGGATTTTGGTTTTTCGGGGGATGTTGGTTGAAGGTTGGGGTTTGGTGGGGGCGGGGGGGGAAACCCGATTAGGGATTGGCTTGAACAGATTGGGATTTTGGGGAGGGAGGAGGGGAGCGGGAATGAAAACAAGAAACAGATGGGGATTTGGGTTTTGGGGAGGGGGAGCGGGAATGGAAAGAGGAGGGGGGGAACCGGACGGGAATGAAAAGAGGGGGTGGAATTTTTTTGGATTTTTTTTATTTTTCATTATAAATAAATATTTAAATAATAAAATGATTTTTTTTTTTTTTGCAACAGAGGATGTCATTGCTAAAAAAATTATTTTTTATTAAAATAATTTTTTATAGTTAATGAATTTTTATTTTTATTTTTTCATTTAGTAAGGTTGAAAATTTATTTGTTTCAATTTATTTTAATGAATAAAAAATTATTATTATTTTTTTATTTGGTAGAAAGTAGGGATAATATTTTCCATTCAAATAAAGTAATTTTTTGTGGTTCAATGTGCATTTGCATGGTAGTAGTGGAATGGCATTTGCAGTAGTGGTGAATGTGGTAGAGAAGATGGGTGGTGAGAGACAGATAGAGAAGAGAGATAGAGAGAGAGAAAGAGAGACAGACAGATAGACAGAGACAAAGTGATGAGTGAGAGAGAGACAAAGTGGTCGCTAAAAGTGCATTTTCTTGTAGTGGAGAGCTCGGTAAATAGAGAAGAGATGAGGGAGAGAGTGAGCAAGGTGAACACAATGGGAGAGAGAGACAAGCAGACAGACAGACACATAGAGAGAAAGAGAGAGAGAGAAGAGCGAAAGACAGACAAACAGACATAGAGAGAGAAAGAGAGAGAGAGAGAAGAGTGATAAGTGAGAGAGAGACAAAGGTAGTAGTAGTAGTGGCAGTAGTGGTAGTGGTGGTAGTGAAGTGGTGGCGATGGTAGTAGTAATGGTAGTCGTAGAGGTGAAATGGTGACCGTGGTAGTAGTGGTGGTAGTGAAATGGCGTTTGCAGTAGTGGTGAAGGTGGTAGAGGAGATGCGTGGTGAGAGAGAAAGATGAGTGAGAGGCACACACACAGAGAGAGAGAGAAAAGAGATGAGAGAAGAGATAGATGAATGAAAGACACAGAGAGAGAGAGACACAAATAGACAGACAGAGAGAGGAGAGTGATGAATAAGAGAGAGAAAGAAAATAGAGAGAAAAAGATGAAAAAATTGGTGAAAAGATATAGACAAATAGAGAGACAGAAAGAGAAAAAAAATAGAGCGAAAAGAGATAAACGAGAGAGAGACAGAAAGAGATGAGCGAGAAAGAAAAAAAATAGAGAGAGAAGAGAGACAGAGAGAGAAGATAGATGAAAGAGATAGAGAGAAGAGAGATGGACGAGAGACACAGAGAAAAAGAGAGACAGACAGACAGAGAAGAGTGATGAGTAAGAGAGAGAAAGAGAAGAGAGACAAAGACACAGAGAGAAAGAGAGAGACGAACAGACAGAGAAGAGTGATGAGTGAGAGAGAGACAGAGAAGAGAGACAGAGACACATAGAGAAATGGAGAGACAGACAGACAAAGAAGAGTGATGAGTAAGAGAGGAAAAGAGAAGAGAGACAAAGACAGAGAGATAGGAAGAGGAAAAAATGGGTGAAAAGAGAAATGTTCAAAAGAGTAAGACGACGTCGTTTATAGTGGATCGATAAATCGAGAAGGAGCTCGATAAATAGAGAAGATGGGAGTAAGAGAGTGAGCAAGGCAAACATAGTGAGGGAGAAATAGACAAATAGACAAGTAGAGAGAGAGAGAGAAGAGTGACGAGTGAGAGAGAGACAGGGAGAGAGAGATAGACAGAAAAAGAGATAGAGAGAGAGAGAGAGATAGAGATAGAGGGAAAGATAGAAAAAGAGAGAGAAACAACAGATGAGCGAGAGATAGACAAAAAGAGAGAGAAATAGAGCGAAAAGAGATGAGCGAGAGAGAGACACAGAAAAATAGAAAGACAGAGAGAGAAGAGAAATGGACGAGAAAGATAGAAAGATAAAAGAGAGAGAAAATAAATGAGAGAGATAGAGAGAAGAGAGATGAGCGAGAGAGACAGAGAGAGGAAACAGATGAGAGAGATAGAGAGAAGAGAGATAGGCGAGAGACACAGAGAGAAAATGAGAGAAAGAAACAAACAGACAGAGAAAGAAGAGTGATGAGTGAAAGAGATAAAGAGAAGAGAGAGAGATAGAGACAGAGAGACATGAAGATGAAAAAATGAATGAAAAGAGAAATGTTATATCAAAAGAGTAAGAAGACATTGTTTTTTTAAATTTTTTTGCGACAGAAAAAAGTACTAGAATTTATTCAAACAATTTTGTGACTGTGTATATATGAAGCTGTCTCAAAACCACAATCACTATGCTAGGTTAGAGTTTTCCAAAAACTCTTTTGAGAAAATTATACTTTCTTGTTTTCCGTGTTATATTGTTTTTACTGAATTTTTTTAATATTTTAAGTATTTTTTTTTATTTTTAGACACACCTAACATAAATACACCTAAAAATTTTAAAAATTGTAAAAAAAATCTTTTAAAAATTCACGAAATACCAAAAATACAATAATTCAATACATTTTTTTTTGTATTTTTATGTATTTATTAATTTTTAAAAATATTTTTTCATAATTTTTTTTTAGATACATCTAAGGTGCATCTAAAAAAAATATTCAAAATTTTAAAAATATTCACTAAAAATTAACAAAAAACACGAAAGTCACTTTTTGCGACGGCACCAAATGCCGTCTCAAAAAAGCAGAGTATTTGCGACGGCACCATTTTCCGTCTCAAAAAAGCAAAGCATTTGCGACGGTACTATTTGCCGTCTCAAAAAATGAGAGTATTTGCAACGGTATTTTCTGCCGTCGCAAATCCTCTCATTTTTTGAGACGGCAAGTGTGCCGTTGCAAATTCTCTGCTTTTTTGAGACAGCAAATGGTGCCGTCGCAAATACTCTACTTTTTTTAGACAACATTTTCTGCCGTCGCAAAAAGTGACTTTTTGAGACGGCAAGTGTGCCGTCGCAAATAGTCCCGTCTCATATACCCACTTTTCTTGTAGTGAGAAATAAATAATAATATAAAAAAAAGGACATTTGAAATTTCATAAAAAAATTATATTTCAAGAAGATTGAAATTATAAGTATAAAAAAGCACAACTATAAAATCAATCACATAAAATAAATTTCAGAACAACCATCACCTATCATTATCTCTATTGATGCCATGTTCACCATCACCTCCACCACTAGTGCTACAACTATCGCCACTATCGTCGCCACCAACACCATTATTACCACCATTGCCACTACTACTACTACCACCACCACTAATGTAACCTCCAACTACCACCACCACCACCACTACTACTATTACCACTTCCACCAACCTACCACTAGCACCTCCATTTGCACCATAGTAACCAATACCATCACCACAAATATCGCCATCGCCACATCCCCCACTACTCCCTCCACCTTCACCTTTATCTTGTCGTGGTCATTAATTACAAATACATTAGTTTCAATAAGGTAACTAAACATAAGAACATGTTTTCTTTGACACAAAAGGTAATTCTATTTGTGCACACAGAAAGTCTCAGTTAACATATTTATATCATTTAGTTATAAAATTCTGAACAAAATTCAAATGTTCGAACAAACTTATGAACAAAAAACAATTGTTTAGGCATAAACAACTGAACGAAGTATATATTTGAACAATTCATTTTTGTTTAAAAGTTCATATTCAAACGATATAAATATTGTGTATGGAGATTTCTTGAGGTGTGTGAATAAAATTTTTCTAACAAATATTTTATGAGTATTTCAAAGAAAATAGTTTTATATTTTTGAAGAAAAATCTAGAATAACTCCAATGCACCTCGAAAAATATATAAAAGCGTGCACGGGCCATAAATTCAATTTTTCAACATTTTAAGTCCATCAGTCCAAGTGCTAATTTGTTAAATTCATAAGGACACGGATTTACACTTTGACGAAAATGGCCTCGATTGCCCAACTGTGCCTCTCTTGATCCTCTTGATAATCTCCTCATAACAATAAACTTTCTGTGCGTGTGTTTTGCATTAAAACTTTACAATATCATGACTCGCATTCTATTATCCCATTTTCATTAAAATTTATATTTTTTTATTTGTTTGTATTGAGATCTTTAAAATAAGACGCATATTGAATATAAAATTTTAAAAAATAAAATGAGACTAATAGGTTTATCTAGAGTCTATCTGTCCTTTTAAATTTTAAAAAAAAATGGGATAGATGGTCTATTTGGGGTCTAGTTGCACACTTTTAAACCTATGTGGTCTATATGTCCCCTCTTAAAGGAAAATGACTCGTAACTCGATTTCGGTGGCCCGAATTTGACTCGAAACTCAAAACGATGTCGTTTTGGGTTTCGATTTTTTTTTTTTGTGCTGCCTTTTCTTTCTCTTCCTTTTCTTTCTTTCTTTTCTTCTTCTTCTTCGTTGAACACAGGAGAAGAGCAGAGGAAGAAGAGAGGAGAAGAGAAAGAGGAGAGAGGAAGAAAGAGAGAGGAGGAGAGGAGATCGTCACAGCACCACCGCCGCCGCCTCTGGCCCCGCCTCCGCATCCTCCTCCCCCTGTGATTATGCCCCCTCCAGTCCTCCTCCTTCCTCCTCCTCCTTCCTCCTTCTCTTCTTCTTCTTCTTCCTTATTCTTCTCTTCTTCTTCTTCTCCGAATTTGAGCCAAATTTGAGCCTCCAAATTCGAGCTATCTATCGGAACCGCCTCTTAAATTAGAAAATGGGGATGAATAGATCTATTTGGGATCTATTTATGCACTTTTAAATAATAATAAAGAAAAAAAGGAGGACAAATTGGTCTATCTAGCATTTGTCTAAGCATTTCAAAATTTTAAAAGGAGACAGATAGGCCTATTTAGGGTTTATCTGTCTACTTTTAAATTAAAAAAATAGAGACGGATAAGTTTATTTGTGCACTTTTAAATTTTAAAATCGAACAACTAAGTCTATTTATTCACTTCTAAATTAAAAACGGGGACAAATAAGTGTATATGTGCATTATTTCTCCTTTGTGTGCTTTATGTGTGCATTTTATATGTACTTTGTAAGTCTATTTTTAAATTAAAAATGTGACACACATATATATGTCTATTTTACAAAATAAAAAATAATATATATATGGAGCTGAAATAACATGTCATAATTTTGTAATTAGTAGTTCATTTTAGATGATTTTTATTTATTTATTTGATGTATTTTTTTAAGGTCTATCTGTTCGAAAGTGGTATTGTGTGTTTATTTTTGCCCCCAAAAAAATGTTATTTTGGTTTTAAATTTATACCTTTTCACTCAAATCACAAAACACAAAATCAAAAACCATGTCATTCGGTTGACATGGGGAGGAAAATTTCAGTTTTATTGTATTGGATTATAGTTTGCCTGATACCAAATACAGTTGTTTCATCATTGTTTTGTCATTGTTTCCTTGACCTGATGTATCTTAAATTAGTTTCAAAATACAACCTTGCCTTGTCTTAAGTTTATTTGGTTGAATTTTATTTTATCTTTTTCAAAATTTTATTTTTTTATTTTAAAGATCTCGAAAAGACAAATAAAAAAAATATAAATTTTATTAAAAAAAAATTATGCAGTTAAAATTATAAAATTTTGACATATGTTAAAAATGATCTTTGTCACTAAAAGAATAAATATGTTAAAAATGATCTTTGTCACTAAATATTGAACTTAACAACCAAAAAGTGTTGTGCATGGAGATAGAACTAGGGGAAGGCTATGGATGTGGGGATATATTTTCTGAGTACCAACACGTGGCAAGGTGATGCCGACGTGTCAGCCAAGGTGCCACGTGTCCTGGTCGTGACGCTGAGGTGATCTCGGCAAAGCCGAGGTTATCTCCGAAGATATCGGAATCCGAGATAAACGGATAAGGGACCAGAGTCCTAGAATGAAGAGGAGACTTAGTCAAGATGAGGAAAAAACTCTTAGGGAGTTTATTTTTATCTCTTGAGGAGTCCAAAGTAAGTACTGAGTTGGAGTCCAAAGAAGTCAGGCTTCTAGTGGGACTAGGATTAAGGTAACTATAAAAGAGAGGCACCCCCGTGAGTCTAAGGTACGCAAGTTTATGCTTTGAGCAGTAAATTTAGCACTTGATTATCTTTGAGAGATATACTGACTTGATCGTCGGAGTGCCCCCGGGTGGAAGAGCCACCGCCGGAGCCTTTTCTTTCTATTACAGGTTAACTGGAGCCATCAATTCTGCCGGTGCACTCTAGCTGATTACTAAACGAGCAGTGTGGTCAGAAAATTACTCACACAATTTGGCGCCGTCTGTGGGAACTTAGAAGAATAGATGGCCAGTAACGGACAGAAGGAAAACATTGGGGGCGACACTCCTGCTGGAAGTGGCAGACCAATTGACCTTGACATTGAAGAAGACAACCACAATGCAGAAACTCATGACCAGGGCCACAGAGAGAAAGACGTCGACCAGGAGGGCGACACTTCGAAGAGGACAGACTAAAGCAAGTACTATAACGAAGATAACCTTCAGGTATGGAGGGATAGGTGCCTACGGAGGGATGAGGACGTAAAAGAATTGGCAAACAAGTTGGCAGACCTACAGTCGGTCGTCAACTTCATGATGCAAAACAATGTCATGCAGCCACCATACCCGCTGTAGGATACGTCGATGCCAGCAACTAATACCTAGAAGGGAGGAGGAAGAACAATCCCCGAAGCCCCTCAGCACACCAGGAGTGGAAGGCACTCTCGCCGAACTTCCAGGGAAGTCGGACGAGAGGAGCCGAGACGAGAGGAGTCTCGAAGGATGTATCACACAAAAGACCCAGAGCACAAAGAACATCGGCATGTTCAAAGGCAGGCGCTCTGCTTTGACACAACCCATGGAGAAAGATCAAAACGGGCTCACCACGAGGCCGAAAGTAGTGTGCCGAAAAGATTGAAGTCCAAAGATAGCCGAGCTCCAGGGAGAAGTAAAGAAGACTTGAGAGATTACCTCAAGAGGAAGCAACAGAATGCTGAAGCCGAAGTAACTTCCCCGGTTAAGTTGAGAACACCATTCTCGGTGGAACTGGACAAATTTGAAGCACCAAAGAGATTCAGTATGCCGAGGTTCTAAATATATGATGGAAAGTCAGATCTCAACTTTCACGTTGGACTATACCTAAATTCAATGGCATTATACAGTGGGAACGAGCCGTTGCTCTGCAAAGTATTTCCCTCATCCTTTGGGGAAATTGCATCAGATTGGTTCCATAAACTACCGAAGGGAAGTGTAAAGACTTGAGAAGGCCTGGCCGAGATGTTTGTGGCCAGGTTTGTGACGAACAAACTACAACCCTTGAGAGTCGACGCACTGATGGCTTTAAAAATCACCAAGGATGAAGGCCTAAGGGCCTACGCAAAGAGGTACTACGAGGTGTTCAACCGAATGCAACCAAGAGTGGCAGTCGTGTCTTTCAGAATGCCGAAGCGAAGCCGAGGTAACAATGGACCGACCAAACAAGAAACGGAATTGAGGGCTAAACAGGCAGTAACGACTATATTCTGAGTCCCGATCCACAAAGTCTTGGATCAAATACGAAACCAACCCTATTTCAGAGCTCCAGCAAGAGCACCAGGGGAATTCATGGGAAGAAACGTTGGTAGGCGTTGTGCTTACCACAACGAAGAAGGGCACCCAACTCAGGGTTGCAGAGCCCTAAAAGCACACTTAGAAGACTTGGTAAGGCAAGGACATCTAAGGGACCTTGTTGATGAAGCCAGGACTAGAGAAGAACAGGCAAGATTGCCTCAAGCACCAGCAGCTCCGCCTCTCCCAATTCAGCAACCACAGTTAGGAGGACCACGGGTGGTCAATATAATTCACTCAAAGGTGAACGAAAACGACATACGAGGGGAGACTCAGAGGGTAAAACATCTACAGCACATAAACCAGGTCGAACACAAAAGACATCGGCCTGAAGAATGCCAGGGACCGACGATAGATTTTACTGAAGCCGACCTAGAGATGGTCCAGCATCCACATAATGATGCCTTGGTAGTATCCCTCCAGGTTGGGGAGTGCCAAGTAAAACGCATCCTGATTGATCAAGGCAGCTCTTGTGACATCATGTATGTTAGATGTTACAAGGAGCTGGGCCTTCATCCTGATGACTTGGAGCAATCCAATAACCCGATGGTCGGCTTTAATGGAACGCCGACGTGGCCACTGGGCGCAACAAGCTTGGAAGTACAAGCTGGCACTAAAAAGATCAAGACAGAATTCATGGTAATTGACACGCCTTCGCCATACAACATCATCTTGGGAAGGCCATGGTTGCATGCAATGGGGGCAGTTCCCCCAACATTGCATCAACTACTGCGATTCTCAACAGAGTATGGGATAGAAGAAGTTAGAGGCGATTAACTGCAGGCAAAGAATTGCTCCATGGCAGCAATGAA